TCTCTCCCTCTCTCCCTCCCTCCTTCTCTCCCTCCCTCTCTCTCTCCCTCCCTCTTTCCCTCCCCCTCTCTCCCTCCCTCCCTCTCTCTCTCCCTCTCTTTCTCACTCTCCCTCCCTCTCTCTCTCCTTCCCCCACCCTCTGTGTATGTATGTGTGTATGTGCATGCATGCATTTGCATGCATATCACTAAAGTTAGCAATTATTTCCTTAAGATAAGAAAATCTCATGTGTGGGGTCATGAGACAGAAAAGAATCAGTGCAAGTAGGAAAAACTAGCTATAACTGGAAGTGTAGAGGGAAAGCTGGTATAGATAATGACTTCATGACAGTAGTGATAAAATACACCTGTGGTCACAAAATATGTTTTCTTAAAAACATATTAAAATATATCACAATAAAGCTATGCAGGTGACAAAGTATTATGATATTAAGATATGCATGATATGGACCTATAAATCTAGTTACAAATAAATATTTGCCATTGTTCAAAACTAAAATTTATCATAAACACTATCTCAGAAAAAGAGAATACCTCCTATATCAGATTCTGAAGTGACAGTGCAATTTTTTAAAAAAATAATGTTTGAAAAGAAACTAATGCAGCTGAAATAACAGATAGCTTGAGGCCTTAGTCTGCCATTGAGACAGATGTTTGGAATAACATCTGGAGATTATATAGGAAAGAAAAAAAGAGGAATTCTAACCAATCATGATTGGCTTGCATTAAAAAAAAAACTAAATAACTATATTTAGGAATAACTATGGCTTATTGATTGTATGTGCTTTATCGCTTTGTCTGGTAGCGTTGTCTGGTAACATTTAGATAAAGCCAGGAAATACAACACATTATTTCTGATGCATGAAGAATGACTGAGAAAGTCAAAAGAATAAGAAAAATTAAGTCACTGTGCACAAACCTTTGATTGTGTCAAACCACATCAAGCTGGGGAATGTCCTTAGAAAAATTGGAATCCAGAACACCTCATTCTTCTAATAAGAAAGATATACACTGGTCAGGAAATCATAGTATGGATGGAACTTGATGAAGTAGGCTGGCTATAAAAGTTGGCCAAGGAATGAGACAACAACTCTCCCTTTATTTATTCAACCTATACGCTGAATATATATTAAGGAAAGCTGAATTGGAAGAAGATAAGTGTGCGTTAGCCTTCCAAGTGGATCAGGAAACATGACAAAAGGAGCTGATGCTACTTTATTATAAGGCTACACAAGAATCTTGCAAGTCTGAAAATACAAATCTCCTACCATCTCTTTTTCCTGCCTGATCAGTTAGGGTGAATCCTTTTAAACTTTTCTTGTTTGCCTGTTACTCAGTAGGAGGCTCCTTCCCCTTTTATCTGATTGTATCCTAAGCACCATTTCTTCCCTTCATTTTCTAGTTATTCACATTCCATTATATTGTGCTTTTAAATTGGATGAAGAAATGTGAATACTTGTGTTATTAGGGTGATGAAACCACCCTAATAGCCAAATTTTGTTATTTATATCCTGCCTTTATTATTTTTACAAATAACTCAAAGCAGCATACATATTACAATGTACCTTCCTCCTTCTATTTTCCCCATAACAACCACGCTGTGGGATGAGTTGAGCTGAGAGGGAATGACTGGCTCAACGTCACCCAGCTGGCTTTTACAGCTAAGGCGGGACTTGAATTCATGATCTCCTGCTTTCTAGCCTGGTGCTTTAACCACCAAAACAAACTACAATCTGCAGACTCTCATAACAAAAGTCAAAGAGCACAGTAGAAAAAATAGGACCAAAATATTAAGAAGACCAAATTACTGAGAATCAGTAGAACAACTAACCTTAGAACTGAGAATGAAGATCTCAAGGTAGTAGATGGTTTCTGCCTTTTAGGATCAAAAGCAAAGGAACAAGATAAGACAAGACAAGACAAGACAAGAATTTTATTGTCATTGTACAAGTACAACAAAACTGTGGATGCACCCCAGCAACTGTTTGCAATACAATAAAACCAGAGCACTTAAAGATGAAGATAAGAAAAATAGAGTACCCGGGTCTCCATTTGCAACTAAAGAGTACAATATCTATGAATATACACAAAATATACATCCAACACTGACTGTGATGCTTTGCCGAGTGTAATACACAAGAGATGGATTGTACTGTAATATGTTATTATATATCTGAATGAGATATTGTAATTTCACATCTTTTCACATCTTAATAAGATAGTGACTTTGTATTTATTTGCGGTTTGGATGGCCCAGGGAAAGAAAGTATTTGTTAGTCTAGTGGTGTGGGATTTTATTGACCTAAAGCGCTGTCCAGATGGCAGCAGGTCAAAAAGATAATTGCCAGGGTGTGAGGGGTCTTCTATGATGGCCTTGATTCTGCTTTGGCAATGGGACCTGGCTAAGTCTTCCAGGGAGGGCAGAGGGCAACCAATGATCTCTTGAGCTGTGTTTATCACCCTCTGTACAGTTTTCCTGTCCTCAGCTGAGGAGCCTGCATACCACACAACCAGACAGTATGTCAGAGTGCTCTCCACAGAAGCTTTATAGAAAGCCAGCAACAGCTTCTTATTCAGATTGTTTTACCTGAGAACCCGCAGGAAGTGCAGCTGCTGCTGAGCCTTCTTCACTATGGCCTTGGTGTCAGGGGAACAGCTCTGTAAGTATTTATTTTATTTATTTATTTATTTGATTTGCCAATTGTTTACAAGATAATAAGTATAAGTGTATACATAGTTGTGAATACATGAAATGGGTACATATAAGAAAAATAAAAGAAGAATAAGAGAAACAATAGGACAGGGATGGTAGGCACGTTGGTGCGCTTATGCACGCCCCCTACAGACCTCTTAGGAAAGGGGTGAGGTCAATAGTAGACAGTCTAAGGTTAACGTTTTTGGGGTTTGGGGAAGAAACTACAGAGTCGGGTAGAGTATTCCAGACATTGACCACTCTATTGCTGAAGTCGTATTTCCTGCAATCAAGTTTGGTGTGGTTAACTTTGAGTTTGTATCTATTGTGTGCTCTTGTGTTGTTATGGTTGAAGCTGAAGTATTCATTGACAGGTAGGACATTGCAATGTATGATTTTATATACCATGCTTAAATCAGACCGAAGACGGCGTAATTCAAGGTTTTCTAGTTCTAGAATTTCAAGTCTGGTGGCATAAGGTATTCTACAATGAGTAGACGAGTGGAGAACTCTTCTTGTGAAATATTTCTGGACTTTCTCAATTGTGCTAATATCAGATACGTAATGTGGGTTCCAGACTGATGAACTGTATTCGAGTATTGGTCTAGCAAATGTTTTGTATGCTCTGGTTAGTAGTGTGATATTACCAGAGAAAAAGCTACGTAGGATTAGGTTAACAACTCTTAATGCCTTTTTGGCTATGTAGTTGCAGTGGGCTCTACCTCTTAGATCATTAGAGGTGAGTATTCCAAGGTCCTTTACAGAGCTTGGGTCATCAACAAGATCTTGACTATTCAGCTTGTATTTTATTTTCTGATTTTTTTTTGCCAATATGTAAGACAGAGCATTTATTTGTTGAGATTTGAAATTGCCATTTGTTTGACCATTCTGATACATAGTCAAGATCTTTTTGTAGGGTAGCAGTATTGTCAGTGGTATTGAACAGCTTTACATCATCAGCGAAAAGAACGCAATTGCTCTTAATATGATCACAGAGGTCATTTATGTAGAGTATGAAGAGAGTTGGTCCTAGAACACTGCCTTGGGGGACACCACTATTGACAGGTACAGAATTTGATAGGACGCTCCCGATTTTGACCATTTGTTGTCTGTTTGACAGGAATGCTTCTATCCAGTTATTCAGTTGTCCAGAGATACCATAGGATTTTATTTTTAGGAGTAGTTTGTTGTGTACCACTGAATCAAAGGCTTTACATAAGTCTATGTAGATTGCGTCTATTGCTTTGCCCTGGTCGAGTTGTGTCGTCCATATGTTTTTGCAGTGTAAGAGTTGCAGATTACAGGATAGTTTTTTTCTGAAACCAAATTGTTTATTGGAGAGTAGGTTGTTTGTCTCTAAGTGGAGGATGATGGATTGGTTAATAATTGATTCCATGACTTTACAGGTGACGCAGCATAAGGAGATTGGTCTGTAATTTTCAACTAGGCTTGGGTCTCCCTTTTTGAAGATGGGGATGACTGTGGCTTGTGACCATAGGTTAGGCAAGGAGCTGGTCCTGAAAGATTTTTCAAAGATTATGCTTAGAGGTTTGGCTATGGCAGTGGATAGCTTTTTTAAGAAGTAGGCACATATTCCATCCGGTCCAATAGATAGAGATGGTTTTAGATTGCGTAGTGCTTTTTCAACATTGTCTTCTGTAAAATCGATATGTATTAGATCATTGTTGTTATCTGTGGTACGGCTAGGAAATACTGGGCATGATCCATTGCTGTTTACAAATACTGAGCCGAAGAATGTGTTAAAGATGTTGGCTTTAATGGTGTCGTCGTTGCAGTCTTTACCATCAGGTCCTATCAAGGGTGGGATAGACCTTGAGTCTTTTAGTTTGTTGTTTACAAAATTGTAAAAAGCACGGGTGGAATTGGTGCTTAGAAGGTTTTCCTCTTGTTTAATGTGATAATTGATGCATTCGGTCTTTATCTGGTGGCATAAATTTTTGTATCGGCTTTTGAAATTGGCAACGTGACCAGATTTGTTTTTCCGCCAGAGTGATCTCTTTTTGGATTGAAGTTTCCTTATTGTTATGGGTAATCTGCTTTTTTGTTTTGTTTTGGGAGTTGTTGTTGGTACATATAGTTTGATGACTCTTTTGACTTCAAGTAAAAATATGTTGTAATGGTCTTCAACAGTATTGCATCCAGTGAATAGAGATTGCCAATCAAGGGATGAGAGATCGTTGTCTATAAGATCATAGTTGCCTTTTTTGAAGTTACAATTGGGGATTACATCATTGTGGTGATTTTTGTGTGGGCGTATGTTGAGACAAAAGTCAAAAAAGAAAAACAAATGTCTACGGCACCCGGTATTCCCAAGTGGTCTCCCATCGAAGTACTAACCAAGCCTGACCCTGCTTAGCTTCCGAGATCAAACGGGATCGGGCGAACTCAGGGCAGTATGGCCGTAGACTCATTTGTGCCAACTGGTCAGCACATGCTTTAACTACTGCACCAGGAATGCCATCAGGCCCTGCAGCTTTCCTGGGATTTACTGCTCTCGGTGTTTTTCTTACCTCATACACTCGAAGAGAGAGAGGTGCAGCGTTGTGGTCCTCATGAGGCAGTATGTCCAGGTTCTTGGTGGTCTCAAAGTGTGCAAAAAAGCTGTTTAGCTCCTCTGCCAGGGTGCTACTCGTCTCGCTGTTTGTTGGGCCTTGGCCTTTATAGTTAGTCAGGGCCTGTATTCCCCTGCACATCTGCCATGGGTCACTGTCAGTAAAGTGGCCCTCGACCTTCTTCCTATACATCTCCTTAGCATGTTTGATGCCCCTTCTCAGCTCAGCTCTGGCAGTGCTGTACTGTGAGGTGTCACCTGCTCTGAAAACCAGGTCATGGGCCCTGATCAGAGTCTGGACTTCGCTGGTCATCCAGGGTTTCCTGTTTGGGAAGGTCCGTATGCGTTTGTCCACAGTGACATTTTCTACACAGGTCTTCATGTAGAAAAGCGCAGTCTCTGTGTATAACTCGAAGTCCTGTTGTTTGAAGATGCTCCAATCTGTGCGGGCAAAACAATCCTGAAGCTGGGAGAGGACAGTTTCAGACAAGCATCTAATAGTTTGACTGCTAGGTTTTGTTCTCTTCCTAAGGGGAGTGTAGGCTGGTAGTAAAAGCAGGGTGAAATGGTCTGATTGTCCTAAGTGGGGAAGAGGTTTTGCTCTATAAGCATGCTTAATATTTGAGTACACATGATCAAGTGTGTTTTTTACACTGGTTGGGCACTTAACATGTTGGTAAAGTTTGGGGAGCACAGTTTTTAGGCATGCTCTGTTGAAATCCCCAGCAATGATGTGAATGCCCTCAGGATGAACTCTCTGTTGCAGGGTAATTATGTCTTGAAGGTGACTGGGCGCCATGCTAACATTAGCATCTGGAGGTAAATATACAGCAGTGATGGTAACTACTGTTAGCTCCTGTGGCAGATAAAATGGTCTACACTGAACAGTCATGGCCTCTAAATCTGGTGAGCAATGGCTGTTTGTTATTTTGCTGTTTGTGCACCAGTCTTTATGTACATAAATAATTAGGCCCCCTCCCCTTCTCTTACCAGAGGCTATATTGCGATCTTGACAGTGCAAGGTCCGGTCCGCTAGCTCCATTGTAGCATCAGGGATTTGCGGGTGCAGCCAGGATTCTGTGATGATTAGTAGACAGCACTCATGAATTATGTGACTGTGGGAGATCTGCAGCTGTAGTTCATCCACTTTGTTTACGAGGGATCTGGCGTTTATGCGGAACATAGATGGTAATGGGGGTTTCTGCGGTCTCTTCCTCAACTGAGTTAGCAGACCCACTCTGCATCCCCACTTCTGTTTTCTCTCCCTACGCCGTCTTCTATGCTTGCTTAATCCGACCACAATCCATGGAGCTCCCAGAGATCTTGCTAGCTCCAATGGGATTCTGTATAAGCATAGGTGACTTCAGTTTTGAGTTGCTGTCCTATACTTATCAGGTCTTCTCGCCAGTACGTTAGTCCGTTGCAGGATGGAGTGAAATGCAGGAACAAAAAGAAGTAAAAACACAAAAAGAACAGTCGTTGGGAGCATTGAGCCACTGCAACCATGCGCGCCACCATCTTGTGGCCAGTAGGGGAACCAGCAAAAATATATGGATCCACTCAGTTACAGTGATGAAGGGCACACTGTTGTTGAAAGACCTGAAAGATAAAATTAGTGAGGGAGATCATCATGAAAAAAAAATCTCCCCATATGGTTAAATGTCTGTAGAGATTCTCAGTCATCCTGGTCATGGTTGTCCCAAAGGTGCTTTTTCAGGAGGCAATTGGACTTTCTTGTTTTTTCTTTGAAAACGTTTCACTTCTCATCCAAGAAATTTCTTCAACTCTGACAGAATATTGGGGGATGGAAGAATTTACTTTCCTTGCAGACAACTGGTCATTTGCATCCTTTTTAAGGGTCGTTGAAGCACTTGGAGGTTTATCTGTGTCCTCAGAGTCACCTGAGTAGTGGTAATGGTTTCTGTGGCCTGCAATTTTTTTCTGGAAATCCATTCATACCCTCACACCATTCAAAAAGTGTTCATCCCAAAACCATTTCCACATAGTTGTTAAGAACAGATAATGACTTGACCACACTTCATTCATCAATTTGATAGATTAGCATTGTACTGTGTATGTCATAAAGAAGGTATTTTCTATAATTTCCAAAATGCATTTAAAAGGTCATGCTCTAACATGTCAAATGATTGGTCAAGAATGTTGAAGATAGAGAAATTTCTACCTCTGCTCTATCCTAATAAATGTATTCAGTTTTGTCGATCTCTTGCTATGGAAGAGGAAGGAAAATTACATAGGACTGTATCCATAAATATGTTTATGATGAATATTTATACCTCACTTTTCAATTAAATTATTTTCAGGATGCAGTTAAAAACAGAATAGCTAGGCAGAATAGCTGAGTCACAAGTCTCCTGGGTGGTGGCAAATATGAAGGTCTTGAATTTTGTCTCACAAAGCCTGTCATCTACACACAATTTGTTTTCAGTATAACATACTGAAGAGATCCTCCTCCTTCAGAAGCATGGAGATCACCCTGCTCTCTAAGTGATGTTTCTAATCAGAATGAAACCTGACTAAACAATTTAAAAGATCAAGCAGCACTAGTTGCAACTTTCAGAATCAGATCTGAAGGTTGAACTTGAATTAGAGACTCACTCAATGCTGCTAACATCACCAAGATGTTGAAGATGGTGGTGAAATTCCCACGTTTAGCCTTTTCTTAATGCAGATCTGCTATTTTTGACATCCTTAAACCTATAAATAAATGGAGCACACATGCTGCTATCACACCTTTCAAGAAACAAGACAGAATACATTTACAGTCAGAAAAAATGAAAATCTGCATGAAACCACAGTTAATATATTTCCCCCACCTCAGTTACTTACAAAACTTTTACCCTTAGAGCATATGGGTAGTTGTTTTTCAAATATTTGAGATGTGTGTGTGAGAGGGAGCTGGAGATGAGGAATGTAACTTTAAATTAAACATATCACTACCTGTTTCAAAAATTAGGGGGAAAAAACCCAAAGCTCATCCTGCTTGAAGGATGAGAAATAATGCTGACACACCCTCTTGTCATGATAAACCGAAGAAAACATTGTGGCTGAGGAACCTGTTGGGATTGCCAATAGAAGGCCACATCTATCTTCACCTTGAAAGCTTTAGGGTGGCCCCAAATTGGCCATTATCTAAGCAAATCACACAAAAGACCAGACAAAGGCAGGAAGGAAAGAGTCACGTACTCCTACCAAACTGCCAGGGGGGATGAAGATGGGATATAATTATTGTACACAATTATATACATGTAGAATTTACTGTAATTATGCCAGCTGGAATATTTGTTAATGACTTGTGGTAACCACCCATTCTTCATGAAAAGCTTGCGGCTATTTGCTTTAATTGTGTATAAGTGGTCAGAGTTCCAAAATGATGCCAAGACCAAGGGATGACTTGATGAGATATCAGCAACCACCTAAAATGTGCCAAACTAATCTCCAGTCTAATTTCTCATAACTTAATCACATGTAGTCCCATGGTGGGATAACATGAAATAGGATTCCCTTGATGAGAGCTTTTTACATGTGGATCTCCTTCCCCATGTTGTACAAGTTGGCTCAAATTTTTTGTGAGCTTTCAACAACAGCTAAGGGCTGTTTTTTCCAACTAGGCTGACCTATGGTACAATATCATATGGACCTAAAAAAACATCATGACTGGAATTTTAGACAATTTGTTGTCTACCAAAGTTATATTGAGCTGTCATTTTAGAGAGTGGCTAGCAGGTTTTCCAAATGCTAAATATTTTACATATTCCATGTTTCACCTATGGCTTTACTCAAGGTAACATGCTGAAGTTGAAAAAGATCAAGATCTGTTTGTGCGATTGCTATTTCTTTGTCTTTGAATTCTGCTTTAGAACTTGTTGATTCAACATTTGTCCCTTTTCTCTTTTATTCCACTTTTTTATTATTCCACTTTTATTATTACTATTTCTAGATTGCAAATTTCTGAAGTCTGGAACTCATTTCTTTCTACAAATGAACAGAAATGTGCTCCATAAGCATATTGCATAAAGAATGGGATGCCTACCATATATTTATGACCATATCTCATTAGATAAGGGAACGGAAGCCAGCACTGGACCTGACCAGATGGGAGAAATCATGACACGAGGTGAGGTGACACGAGACCAGCAGATGAGCCTGGAAGAGCCACAGCAACCTGACCACCACTAATTGGTGTAAAACTAGTTTGCCCCCTGTGGTATACCAAGAATAGGCACGCAAGCTCCTAACCGGATGAACTAACAATCTAGGATGTCAGAACTATTTTATTTATTTGTCAAGCAAATATTAGATAACAGGTATAAGTATAAGCATGGAATACATGCTTATACCTTTCATGAATACATGAAATGGATATGAATAAAAAAGAAACAATAGGACAGGGATGGTAGGCACGTTGGTGCACTTATGCACGCCCCCTACAGACTCTTAGGAAAAGGATGAGGTCAATAGTAGGTTAAAATTTTTGGGGTTTGGGAAAGAAACCACAGAATCAGGTAGAGTATTCCAGACACTGAACACTCTCTTGCTAAAGTCGTATTTCTTGCAATCAAGTTTGGTGCAGTTTACCTTGAGTTTGTATCTATTGTGTGCTCTTGTATTGTTGTGGATTGTATTGTATTGTTGTGGATTGTATCGTATTGTTGTGGATTGTATTGTATTGTTGTAGATTTCCCTGACATTCTATGCTAAATAAATAATATTAATTAGATAAGATAGGATGGAATTGTCGGAAAGGAGTTTATAGAAGATTGTTGTATCTCTCAGAAAGTACAAAATTAATTTCAATTTTTGTTTCCAAATCTCAAGTCAATATATCATAAATGTTA